CATTCCTGTTCCCCCACAAGAGTGTTGCTGAGGAAGTTCGCTGCAGCCTCCCAACACTGCTCTCGTGGGTATTGTCCCATGCCCTTAGGGGAGCCCAGAGCACAACGAGGGCCATGACCAGAATTTGCTCCCTGGGTCTGTCTCCCCCTCCCCAACACCTTCCCCAGGATGGTGTTTAGTGCAGCACTGGGCACCCCTGTAGGCTGTGAAATCAGGCCTGTCGGCCCCCTAAGCGCACTCACATCCACGTGCTCCCCTTGTCTCCTTCTCCTAACATCCCTACGGGTGCTCCCACAGGGAGCAGGAGGGGTGTCAGCAGGTGGTGAGGATAGGGCTCAGGTGAGGTCATGTACACATGACTTGTTAAAGCTAGAAACTAGATAACCACCACAATACGATGCAGAAAGGTTGCCGACATTCCAATAGCCACATCCAAATGTGAGATGCCCTGAAATGGGGCCCACCTTCCAGGGCCTCAGGATGGGTGGCACCTGGCCGGCTGGGCAGTGGGCAGACACAGAGAAATTATGGCCAAGTGGGGGAGGGTCTGGTCAGGCATGTGTCCCCAGAGGGCAAGAGAGGCCAAAACGGCAAACGTGAGCACCTGCCATGTGAGAATAGGAACTGCCTCTATCCTGTGCCTTCATGCACATGCTCCCATGTGACTCTCCTCAGCCACCTGCTGTGGCTGGAATTACTATTCCTACTTTAGGATGAACAACCTGGGGTTCCTAACATTGAGTGGCTTGCTCAGATTTCAAGTCAGGGTTCCAAGTCCCACTCTGTTTGTCACATCATCGGCTCTTTCCCCGGCACACTGCCTCCAGGCAACATAGCACATCTAAGCAGTCTCGTGAACCATGGCCTCAGGGATGGCCCACTGGGCTACATGTGTTCCAACACACCTAGAGCATCAAGGCCAGAGCTAGGGTGCTTGTAGGGGTGGCAGCAGCAGAGAGGTTTTGCAGTGAGCTGTGGGCAGATCTAGACCAGGGCCTGCCTGTGGCATGTCCTTGCTGTGATAGCTGGGCCTGGAGGTGTTGGTGGGACTGATCAGGGTCTGGATGGCAATATCCAGGTCTGCACACTGTGTGAACTAAGTACACTGAATAAGATCCTATGTGTGGACTTGCTTCAGTGCCTGGCATACAGTAACTGCTCAATTAACACTAGTTCCAGTCTCTTTCCACCATTATCCTTTTCTCCCTTTCAGATCTACTACTTCCTGCAGGATTTTGTCTCTCATTTATCAGCACTACTGTCTATCCCATGCTTAGGCCCAGTGCCACAGTCCTCTTAGACACCTTTTCCTCGCCACTGCCCATCCATTCATCTGTCCCCCAGGGCAGCCAAGTCTGCCTTGTCAGACGTCCTGGCCATCTAGTTATTTGCCACACTCCCAGCTCTGCCTCTCAGCTCAGGCTCTTTGCCTACCTCTCGTTGATCATTTGTCCTGTTGGCCATTCTACAGTCAGCCCCTAGGGCTCCCATCATCCTCAAAGTAAAATTCAAATTATAACATGGGTAGAGTGGCCTTCCACTCCAGCCTTGTCTTTCCCAGTTTGCACATGGCACTCCCACCACCCTGTTGCATCTGCAGGCTCCTGGACCACTCCCTGGGCTCCTGCCTACAACACCCTTTCCTGCAGGCTCAGGATTGGCCTGGCTCAATCCTGCAATGGGTCCCAGCACTCAGATTGGTCCACAAGTCTCCCGAGCACTACCCCAATCTTGCCCCAGCCCAGCCACTCAGCTTCCTAGGCGCTCCTGCATGTCTGCGCCCACCTGTAGGACCTGAGGCTCTCAGACTGTCACTGGATGGGACTTGTATATCTATATATTTATATTCTAGGTCCAGGTTCCTGGCTGCCAAGGAGCAGGCCTCTGTGTTTGTGGGGCGAGTGAGTAAATGAGTGGCGGTCACAAAAGAACCTGGAGTAGAAAGATGCAAACTTATTAGGGAAAAAACTGTGCTGGGCCACGTGCCAGCTTGCAGGGAGCCTGGAAAGGGGCTAGACACAGGGAAGCTTTGTGTTCTGGGGCACTCAGCACTTGACTGCATCTGGAGGCTGAGCATCTGAGAACCAGGAAGGCGGAAGAGTGAGGAGGTGAGCTCACCAGTGGGCCTGAGAGCTCCCAGCTCACGTCAGTTGCGGCCGATTAACTCATCACACCCACCGCGACCCTTTCTGCACTTCTGTCTCAGGAATACCATTGGCTTCAGAGTACAGAGGATGACATCACTGTGTCCAGAGCTGGCTTGAGCAGACATATCAGCTTCTCAGGATGAGGCATGGGTGGTGGTGGCTGTGGGGGTTTCTGAGCCCTCATGGATTTTAGTTATAGCCAATTTATTTTCCTTTGTTCCCAATCAGTTACGAACGAGGAAATCAGAGTAGTCCAGTGTGACCTCCTGAATTTGTCATTACTTAATATGGTTCTTTTCAAACTAGTTGAAACTAGACCTAGAACCTTTGCTTCCACGTTTTAAAATGATTTAGGCATTTCTGTTCAGGTCTGATGCCTATGTGGATGAGCTGGTTATTTGCAGCCCTGAGACACTCTAGGGCTCCTAGCCCAGGCCTGTGCCCAGCTGAGCGTAGACCTGCTTGGGGTGTCCCCGTCCCCACCTCTCCTGTGATCCAAGGGAGCCAGGAAAGCCCTCTCACTTAGGTGTTCTCCAGTGGTCCCAGCTGCACAGGTCCAGAGAGAGACCTCTCCGAAAGCTTCAGTCCACCCAGTGAAGGTGTGAGGGGATCTTCCCATCGTTTCTTTTTGCTCAGACTCTCACAGAGAAAATTGTATAGTCTTGGGGCCCAGGCAGCCTAGCTCAGGAGACCTCGTGTGGAAGGGCCCTGAGACTCTCTGAGGACATGTGTGTTCTTGTTAGGAGCCACTCATAAACAAGACCATGACATGTAAGCTCTGTGCAGGTGCAGGGGGTCTCAAGAGCTTGTGGGAAGTCAGGGAGACCATGTCTGTGTGTGTGAATGTGTGTGACACATTCTCACACTCTCTCTTTCTCCCATTCAGTCTGAGGGTACTTATTGAGCATCTACTATGTGCCGAGCATGGTTCTAGGTGCTAGGGACACAGTAGTGTGCAGCCTGCTGAGTTCTGTCTTCTTGTTGCTTACTCACTGGTGAGATTGCTCTGTGTAAGCTCCTTAGCAGAACGGGGGATACCATCCTGAGGCCACCCCACCTGCCCCAACCTTCTTTCTCAGCACTTTCTATTTACATTCCAAGTGGAGGCAGAGCTGTAAGACAGAGAGAAGTTTCCAGAGGCTTTGAATGTCAAACTGGGGTGTGGAAACTGGGTCTGCCAGGCTGAGGTAGCCTAGGAAGAGGGTTTGTAAGGAAGGCCACCAGGGTCAACGTCCAGCAGAGCAATGTCTCCAGTTCACTCATTGGCAGGCCACAAGCAGAATTTGTAACTTAGGCAAGGGCCATCAGCACAATCTTTTATTTAATATTATAGTTTTAATAGACTCACCCTTTAGGATTAAAAAAATGGAACTTTGTATCTCTTCTGAAATGAGAACCCTGGTAATATCTGAGGAAGATGTCCCTGTCTCTGTCTCCATCAAGCCTGAAATAATCTCATTCGGATCGTGTCTATATCCTATGTGTGTGGGGCGGGGGGGGCGGGGGGAGGGCACCATGGTGGTGGAGGAAAGGCTGGAAGGCCAAGAGGCCTCTGATGGGGCTCTCGTTCAGTTTAAAAGCCAAACCCAGTCCTCCCAGGGTAGCAGGCCAGGTTGTGGGCAGGACAAAGGGCCTTCCCCGTGAAAGCCCACCCTCCCTCTGCTGGGAGCTTGGCCTGCTGGTGGTCGATGAAGGCTCACTGTGTCTTGTTCTTAAAGGAGGCTGATTTATAGCAGGAAGAGTGAGGAGTGATGCTGCTTTGGAAGGTAATAGATAACCAGTCAGGGAATCCAAGGTTATCATTCTGCCTAGCGGTCCTCTGGAGAGTAGGGAATTCACTGGTTGTCACTGGAGCCTTAAAATGGAATTTTCTTGTGTTACGCTGTTGAATATTGGTGATTTAACAGCAGAACTGTAGCAGCTACAGCTGCACCCCCTCCCGTTCCTACCACATTGAGAAGATTGAAATGTTTCCGATTGAAATGTTGTCTGTTTACAGCTCATATTTCCTCTGAGCTGTATATTTTATTGTCATATTGACACTAATTTGACTCGGATGTCACCTCCGTTCTGACGCCCAGTTCTTTATGCTGCCTGCGGGTCTGTGCGGGGGAGGGTTCAGAAGCCAATTACATTGATCAGACCACAGAGAGGCGGGAGGAGCTTATGGAGGGGCAGCCAGTCAGTCAGGGAGTCTGTGCACAGCTGCAGACAGGAGGGGAGATTGAGGCAGGGGAGACTCAGCCACAGTCCCTAGAGGGTCAGGGCTGGTGGATACAGGCACAGGCTAAGGTGCACACCAGTCACCTGGTAAACCTGTGCAAAAAGTCCTTTGAAACAAGAGCCATGAACCCACTTTACAGGTGATAAAGCTGAGGCCAGAGCTCTAAGTTTCTTTGTTTTCATCACAGAAGTAGGAAATGGTGCTAGTCAGCCTCAGTCCCAAGCCTCAGGGCTCAAAAGCCTAGGCGCTCTCTACTCTCTCATAATAGGGGGATGAGGAGGTGTGGACAGCTAAGTGTGGTGTTGGTTAAGGTCTTCAGGCTGAATATCCTTAGAATATCTCCTTGGTGAGCCCATAAAATATCTGGGTGAGGGGCTGGACCATGCAGGGTTACTCCCTAACCTCTGAGGATTCAGGGTCCGTGAGCCCTGCTACAAGGCTGTGTCCCACTGTCCCCAGGGAGAGTGTGTTCCAGCCCCATGCTGAGGACAGCAGCATATGACACAAACACACAAACACACACAAAAACTCCTCAGATTTAGTACTCCAGGAAACAGCTCCCTCAGTTGCTGGTGCCAGGTCCTGCGGAGCCAGGCTCCCTACATCCCTCTGGCTAGATTCCTCCACAGGAGGTCCATCCAGAGCTGTGGATGATAGGCTGGTCAGTAGCCCATAGCCACCCGGAGGTAGGTGCTGTTAGCCCATCTTCCAGGTGAGGAACCAGCTCAAAAAGGTTTAGCAACTCCCCCAAAGCCACCCAGTTCAAAGCCATCAGGCAGGGTCGAACCTGGATCTGTCTGGGTCCAAAGCCTGTTCTTGCATCTGCTGCCCCTCCCGGTGACCCCAGGAAAGCAACCCTGTCCCCTGAGACTCTGAGATTACCCAAGATAATCCAGCATAGGTGGCACCTAGTGAATCTTGATGGTGTGGCAGCCACCATTTTCACCTCTCACCTGGATGTTGAGCTCCAGGAGGGCAGGGCCAAGGGACCTCCTTGCTTGCAGTCCCCACGGCATCCTCCCAGTGCCAGGCATGCTGTCAACACTGCACAAGGGTCTGATGGGTGAATGAGCAAACACATGAATGCGCAAAAGAGCTAGAGAATGAAGCAAGATTCAGGAGCAAGCGGCAACAAGAACGGGTAGTATTGGGCATGTGCCCAGGTGAAGGCAGGCTGGTCACCTAGTGGCTGCCAGACGTCAGGACAGGCCCACCCTCAGATGGATGAATGCAACGGCTCTGCCAGTCCCTGTCGTAAATCACAGGAGAAGCCACGGGAAATGAGTGCCAGGCTTTTCTTTCTATTTAGTAATTTATCAAGGGAAGAGGCACATTAATAAACATATTTCCCTTGAGGGGCAGGAATAACAGAGATGAATACCACTGTCAGATTTGGCCTGCTTCTTCTTGTTAGGGGCGCAAGAGAGGGGTGGGATCCAAATGTTAGCAACAAGATCCTTTTGTAAAACAAAGATGTATTTCTGACTTTACGTGATGTTAGATCTCCTCCTCACCCCGCCTCCCCCGCCGCCCCCATGCACATTTCTCTATTTGCCGTGAAGTCTATAAGTAACAGCAGTCTTTTGGAAGATTCATTTTTGCATTTCACTTTGAATTCCCTTTGAAGTGAGGATTGACAAGGCATAAACTCAGTAAATAAGCACTAAGAAGCTTAGAAGATGCCCGAATGGACAAATGAGTGCGTGTGTAGTGACAGGTGTACTGCTGTGTGGCCCAGTCATCTTTTCTAGACTTGCTGTCCTTTGCTCCAGTATTAACTCTAGGCTCACCCACTTAGCCCCTCAATCCTCTTAGCCCCTAAAGAAGCTGCATCAATTTACAATTTCATTGTGGAAACTCTGCTGGGTTTTAGGCGCTGTGTTTTAGGCACTATCCTTGGTGCTCTCTGTGTGTCCTCATGACAACCCAGCAAGCCAAGCTGTGCAGCCCCCATTGTCCAGATGGGTAAAGAGAGGCCCAGGGAAACTATGTAACATACTCCAAGGCAGTGTGGCCAGCCAGCACAGGCTATATGCCCTGATGTGGTGTCTGTGCGTGAGTGTGTCCTGAGAGCCTTCCCCAAGACGCTTCTCCTCCCCACCCCGAGCAGAAGCAGTGCTTAGGTGGTTTGGATGGCCATCAGCCTGCCTTCCTATTTCTCCATTAAGGCTATGTAGCCTTGGGCAAGGTACTTGTTTTGTCATTTGTGAAATGAGGATAATGATTGCCCCTTCCTTATAGGGCAGTTGTGAAGATTAAACTGCTTAATACTTTAACGTGCTTAGAACAGTACTTAGCACCTGTGAGGCATTCAGTAAATACTGACATGAAAAGATAGGTATGTACAGAAAAAATCATAGTCTATATATAGGATTTGGTACCATCGGCGGTTTCAGGCATCCACTGGGGGTCTTAAAATGTATCTCCCGAGAGTAAAAGGAGACTACTGTCCATACATAACTGCAGGAAAGGAGGAAGTCCTGCCCCAGGCCGGGGCTCCCTGCACCCCAGGGCTCTCCGGCAGTTGCTCCAGACTGCTCTTCTTGCAGCCCCCACCCCAATCTACTCTCTGGGTCTCTCCTCTGGACAAAACAGTGGCCTATAAATGGTCTGATAACATCACTGGACAACTCTCCACCTGCCAAGGTTTCTGCCCTGTCTGGACCCTCCCTAACCCCAAGTTTCTTCTTGTAAAGGGGTCTGTTAGTGCGGACCTCCAGGGCTGTGGTGAGGAGGAAATGAGGGAATGCACGAGAAGCGCCTGGCGCATAGCAGGGCCAGATAAATGCTTCACATTGCATTTCGAATACCTGCCTGGAACAGCCTCTCTGTGTCCCGCCGGCCCCTGCCCACTCGTCCTCCCTTCAATAGCCTTCAGGTTCCCTTTGGGCTGGAAGGGTTGCCTGTAAACAACTCTAGTGACTGCTTAAACACACCCTCTGCTACACACAACCTGGCCCAGCTCACCTCCGTGCCTCTGCTTGGCTGTTTCTGGGCTTGCAATGCCCGCCTTCCTCTCTTCTGCCTGCTCAGATCCGCTCAGACTCCATAGGTCCCCTCCTCCAGAGAGACAGCAGGCTGCCCTGGCCACACAGTCACCCAGTGGAATTCTCTATAGCAATTAAAAAGAGCCAGTTACTGCCACGCACTGCAGCACTGAGAAATCTTACAAACTATAACATTAGATGAAGAAGCTGATTAAGAAAGGATTTCCATTTCCATAATAAGCAAATACTCAAAAACAGGAAGCCAAGATAATGGCTGCCCTTCGGATGCGTTCGGAAGTAGGGAGGGCTTCTGGGCACTCACTGTGCTCTGTTTCTTGACCTGGTGCTGGCTTCGTGGATGGTTCATTACTGGTTTGTGCACTTCTCTGTCATGCCTTAAGCATGGCTGGACCCAGCCCTGGTCTCTGCATATCGAATAGGAAAAGTGCTAACATATGTTCAGTGCTTATATTCACTCATTCAAGCACCTGACCTGTGCCTCTCAAATGCTCACCATACCTGTGTGGACCAGTCTTATTTTATAGATGAGCAAACTGAGACTGAGAAAGGATATGTTGCTTGCCCAAGAGCACATGACAGAGTTCCAGTTTCCCTTACACCATCCTCACAGGCTCTTCCTGTCCCCCACCTGCCAATCTCCTTTCCCCCACTTCATCTCCCATATAGACACTGTACTGATGTGAGTTTGGTTGGTCGTCCCACAGTGTCACGTTTCTCCAGCCCACGGGTGACACCGCGCCTGAGCCGAAAGCGAGCGCTGTCCATCTCCCCACTCTCGGACGCCAGCCTCGACCTACAAAGGATGATCCGGACCTCGCCCAACTCACTGGTGGCCTACATCAACAACTCGCGCAGCAGCTCAGCAGCCAGTGGCTCCTACGGGCACCTGTCGGCGGGCACTCTCAGGTGAGCCCAGCCTGCAGGAAGAGGGCCGAGGGTTGGTAGCCGGGCTGAGGGGACTAGTGGGAAGGGTCCATGCTTTTGAACCGAGGAGAAAGACAGTTCTTATTGCAGTTGTGAATCAGCATACTTGCCTCTTTTTATGAATTCAAACCAAGAATGTGAAAATTGAAATGTGCCAATATTTGAGTATGTCCTCATGTGCTCCTCCTCATTCATGCCCCAAACACAATTTCTGATGTGAAATGTGAAACGTAAGACTTACCGGGCCTGTCATGAGATTCGATCATGAAATCAAAGGTGAAGTCAAAGGTCACTTTCCTAGTATTTCAGTGGGTGTCATGGAGCAGCCAAGCCATTGACCAGCGTTGGGGGCCACACACGGTGTGGCACTGACTTGGGCCGTGCAAGTCTACGGCCGGCAGCAGTCTTCCCACTGTGGTCACACCATGGCACACCCAAACCTCATCAACACCATTCACCCCTGCCCCCTCTGTGCAGCCCTTGACTGTTTTAAGGACTCAGAGCCCAACCGACTTGATTAAAACCCATGTTCTTCCCCTGACTGTCCTGAAAGAGGCCGGAAGGTGTTTGGACTGTCAAGAGAGCTTGGCCAAAGGACTCAGAAATAGAAGTGATAACAAATCTCTTAGTTCTCTTTTGCTGTATAACAAATTGCTTCTAAACTTAGCACTTTAAAACAAGCATTTATCATCTCACACCATCTCTGAGGATCTCCCATGAAGCCACAATCAAGGTGCCAGACAGGGCTGTAGTCCCCTGAAGACCACTGGGCCTGGGGTTCTTTTACCAAGATAGCCAGTCACATGGCTGTTGGCAGGAGCTTTAGTTTTTTATTATGGGAGCCTCTCCATAAGGCTGCTCGAGTGTCCTCACAACATGGCATTCAGTTTCCCCCACGCACAGTGCCCTGAACCCTCAGAGCGAGTGATCAGAGAGAGAGCAAGGAGGAGGCCACAGCATCTTTTACGGCTCAGAGGTCACCATTATTGCCTCAGCATCCTGTTCTTGAAAGAGCGGCGTATATGAGGTAGCATGATAGAGCCTAGAAGTGTGGTAGAAGTTAAAGAAGCAAGAAGACAATATGAGCTGGAGGGCTCATGGCACACTTCCTGGATGAGGAGGCATTAGAACAGGCCTCAGAGGCCAAATGGGGTTCAAATAGAGAGCAGCGATGCAAGGGTGCATCTCAGGTGTCAGAGTGATGAAGGGCCAGCGTGTGGAGGTGAGATGAAGCCTGGTACCTCCTATGGGCCAACCCTGGGGCAGTGTCTGGGGGCAAAACACAGAAGATGAGGCCTGAGATGGCAGGCGGTGGGGAGCAACTGCTGGTTCCTGAATGAGGTAAAGCAATGATGAGGTTCTCTCTGCCTATGAAGTGTTAGCCTAATGGAGCCCTGCTCCCCACCCCTCCTTAGCCTGGGCTCCATCACCTTATCTGCTCTTCTTTGCAGCCCAGCCTTCACCTTCCCCCATCCCATCAACCCCGTGGCCTACCAGCAGATCCTGAGCCAGCAGAGGGGCCTAGGCTCGGCCTTCGGACACACGCCACCCCTGATCCAGCCCTCACCCACCTTCCTGGCCCAGCAGCCTATAGCCCTCACCTCCATCAATGCCACGCCCACTCAGATCAGCAGCAGCAGCAGCAACTGTCTGAGTGACACCAACCAGGTGGGTGGGTACAGAGAGCAGGGGTTGGACCACCAGATACTCTTTCGAACCCCTCGAGGGCTAATCATTGCCTTCTCACACTGAGAACTTGTGGAAGGACTCTGTGCAGTTCTGGCTGGTGGGATGCATTCTGGGCAGAGGCCATGTGATTGAAAGGGCCTTGAACTGGATGCTGGGTCAGGAGATCTGAGCTGGATCTTAATACCACCCCAATCACCGTGGGCTAGCACCCGGCCTCAGCTCTATGGTCACCTGGCCAATAAACACAATGAGTAGATGGAAAAACCCTAGAATTCACCGAGTCTGGCACAATGTAGGTAGTCCATACACAGCATATGAAATGGATGGACTAATGGATAATAAAGTAGTACAGTTTCGTTTTACAGCATGGATTACCAAAGGCCATCTCATTTGACCTTTTGAAAGAGCCTTTGTCAAGACTGGGCATATTCACGCAGTGTCTGGCACACAGTAGGTGTTGTTAGTATTTTGTGGATGAACGAAGTCCTATTTTACAGATAAGGAAATGGAGTTATAGAGACAGTATTGGATAGCGGGAAGGGCACAGGCTTTGGAATTGATTAGACTGTGTTTTGGACCCTACTTTCCTGAAAGCTTTTTCAGCATGAGCTAATGCATCTGCATAGTGGAGTCTGCCACCTACACTGGGTCATTGTACATATATACAAGTTCGTGTGTGCACAGAACCCCATGTAGACCCAGATCTTGGTTAGTACTCACAATGACGGTTCTTGGGGGGAAGTGACTGCCCAGGCCACCCACTTGGCAGAGCAGAGCCTAGATATGACCGTGTGCTGACAGGGAGGAAGACCAGATGCCACAATATCCTAGAGCAGCACCTCTTCCAGGATGTCCTCCTTCTCCATCCCAGGTCTCCAAGCTGCCGCCTAGCTCCTCCCTTCAGACGGTAGCTGTCGGTTTTTATCACACAACCTGATCCTGCAGCTCTGGCTCCCTTGTTCTGAGTAACTGGCCCTTTTCAGAATCTGCTCCCTGGACTGGGCAGGCCGCTGCCCTGGAGGGCTGAGAAGTTGAGGCTGTCAGGTCAGGAGTGAGGGTACCCAGCATTTTCCAGAGAGATGGCCTGTCCCACTTCCGTGGATGGTGGGGATGGAGGTGCTGACAGGCTGAGCTCTGGGCTCTCTCTTGGCCGTGCCCCTGGCTAGAGGACTGAGCTCAGAGGACTCAGTTTCTCAAACTTCAAACACAAGGGTTGGCCTAGATGTCTAGTCTGTGTGGGGAGGGTCCCAGAGGTAAAGCCCAAACACAATGTACTCTCTGAAAGTGACACGCTCTCCTATGCAACCTCCCTCAGAACAAGCAGAACAGCGAGTCGGCTGTGAGCAGCACCGTCAACCCTATCGTCATTCATAAGCGCAGCAAGGTCAAGACTGAGGCTGAGGGCCTGCGGCCAGCCTCCCCATTGACTCTGACACAGGTAACCTGCTGGCCGTCCTTACCCTTCTCAGGCTGGAGCCAGGCCTTGTCTCCTCTGGGACAGCTGACTTGGGATCGAGACCCTTTTGGTGAATGGATGAACAGATGGCTGCCTGCATGAACGAATGAGCAAATGAGTGAACCGGAGAGGGCAGAGTGCACCAGAGCTTTGTCCCCAGCACCCTGCACATTATGTGCTATCAAACACGTGCTGAATAAAAAAGAGAAAGAAAAAAGGGAGGGAAGGAGAGAGGGAGGAAGGGAGAGAAATAATGAGTGTGTGTGTGTGTGTGTGTGTGTGTGTGTGTGTACATACGTATCTCTGGGGCTGCAGCCATCTCTCCACCCAAACCTTACCCTCATGCAGCACAAGTCCTAGTCAAACTGAGTTGTTCACATCACCTGAATGGCTCAGGCTCCTATCTAGTTGCTACCTCTCCCTGGAACTCTGCCCCCTACGCCATCCTTTTTGCTGACACTTCAGCCTTTCCTGACTCTCCTGGATAATAGGGCTTGCAGCTGTGCAGACACCCATTCTAGCCTCTGGGTCACTTTGTCTGCCTCCTGCACAGCACTGTGAGCTTTGAAGAGGCGGCACTTTGGGAGAAGTGCCTGGTTCGGTTCCAGGTCACCAGGGTTTACACAGAGACTGGCACACAGTAGCTGCAAAATCATATTTTCTAAGGACTCAGTGCACATTTGAGGGGATGAATGGTACGGTGCTGAGGGAAGAAAGGGAAGTGATTCTCAGTGGGAAGGTGAGGAACGGAACAGCCCACAGTCCTGGATGGCTCTGCCGTAGACTGAGATCCTTGTGCAGGTCCCTCTGTAAATCTTGGAGCAGAGCCCTGTCATGGGAAGGGCTAGATGTGAATGCTGACCTCAAGGGCAAGCCTCTTGCCCCGCCCTCCCCCGCCCCCAAGCTTCTTATGGTGTCCTGGTCTCCATTGTTACTGCAGAATCACCAGTTTTGACACCAAAGATGCTCAGGGCCTCCTGTCCCCAACTCCCCTGCATCTGCCACACCATCTTTTATCAAACCTGTAAACCATCGGGCATGCTCCAGGCACTTAATTTTTATGAAATATTGGGTCCTGTTATTATCAGGCAAACAGAGAAGCTGGTGACAGATTCTTCTCCTCTCGCTGACGCCAAAGCATCTCAGCATGATGCATGGTTTCCACAAGGCCAGCCATCATCAGGGGCTGTTGAAATTGATGAGGATGGCACATATCCTAGGGAGATAAGCACACAGGAGCAGTGGAGATGGGGCCGAGGCTGTGCCGAGCACCAGGGGGCCCTCTGCCCGACTTCCACCAGCCCACGGAGCCCCACAAAACCCTCTTTGCCTGGCTTGGCTCTTCACTTGTGTCAGTAGAAGGAAAGTTGTTTATTGTAAGGAGGTTGTCACCGTGTTGCTCAGTGTCCTGATTCAGTGACCGGACTCATTTGCACGGTGCATGGGCATGCTTTCCCTTGGCAGAAAGTACAGCACAATGACTCCCTCCTCTCTGCCTAAGCCCTTAAACTCGTGGGCTAGGATGACACCCGGCTTGATCTGGAGGCCTGAGCGTACCCACTGCCTCTACACTGTCCTCCAGCAGCTTCTTCAAGTCTTCTTTGAAATCACCAGGGCATGCAACTTATAGAAATAATGAGTCCATGTCCAGTTTTCCTGAAAGTGCAGAACGGGTATTGAGAGGCCCCAGCCCCCAGCCCTCCCTTTGCTCAAGATTTGGGCAGAGGCCCTTCTGCGCCTTCCATTTAATGGGACCCAGTGCTGCCTGGGGACTTCTTGGACAACACATCATCGTTTCCCTTTTCAGAACACATGTGTTAATGGAAAGGTACGCTCAAAATCAACCAGAGGTCCCCTCCTGTAGGAGTCTTTTGTAGTTCCAGTGGAAAGTCTGTCAGGAGTGTGAGTCCGGCCAGTACCAGGAGTCATGAGGCTCATTTCTGCCCCTAGAAATGGACTCAGCATTAGGAGTGAGGCTCATGTGGGGGGGCTGTGGCCTCTGCTTCGCTGAATGTCTGGAGCCTCTGGGGGCTCTTGACTATGGGGTGAGGTTGTCCCCCTTAGCCTGAGCTATAAATGTTTGCCCAAAAGGCTTTTTTGAAAGACAGAACATTCCCGCCATTTTATAGATAGTCTGAAATGTAAAGCAAGTCATTCTGACATCTGCCTCCTTGCCTAGCTTTGCTCTGAGTCTGCCTAGCAGGCCAGTGATATACTGGGGAGTCCTTGACATCCTCTGGAGGTCCTCGCTGGGCCTTCCTCCCAACCTGGGACATCCGTGCCCCTCCCTCCCCCTAGCTCCTGATACCTCCAGCATGTTCCCGTGTTTCCTGCTTGGAGGCTGCCCCTGGCCAGCTCTGTGTCAGCATTAGCTGGGATGAAGCAGCCCCGTGGGGTTGATTCTCAGTCTGTTGCTGGTTTTGGAGTAAAAGGTTTTGTCCTCCTTGAAAAGAATCCCAAGCACCTGTGATCAAGTGAAGGCCTATCTCAGGGACCTTTCTTTTGCCACCTCGGAAGGGGTACACATGAGCCCTATCATCCTCAGGAGACTCAAGTTTAGATCTAGGCTTCCACTCACTGTGTGTCCTGGGGAGGGTGAGTCAGCCCCTCCCTGAACCTGTTTTTCCAACTGCAGCACAAGAATACAAGCACCCACATTGTAGGGCTGTTAGAGGGGAGACTGCTTCTGGGAGAATATGCCTGCAGAGCATTTGTCTAGAGTGCTGTCCTGGGAGCGAACCCAGGGTGCCCTGTGTGCCCTGGGAGGAGGAGCAGTGCGAGAGTGAGAGGTCTGAAGGACCAGGCCAGATGCATGATGGGTTTCTCTTGCCTCCAGTGGGGAGGGAGCAGCCCCATACGCACTATGAATAAAAATGCCGTATCCCCAAGCCATTGGAGCCCAACCCAGCTCCCTCCAGGGGAAACCAAACCAAATAAGCAAGTCACTGCCCTGCTTTCTCCTGTTTTCTTTGCCTTATCAGTTGACCCAGGATGTGATGGGACACCTTGGTGATAATAAGCTGGAATTAGAGAGGAAAGAGGAGTCCCAGGATGGCTGTGTGAAGGGAGAGTAATGGGTGAGAGCCAGCTGAGGAGAGGGGCTGAGAAATCTCATGAGTGCGTGTGCGTGTATGTGTGCATGTGTATGTGTGCATGCATGTGTGTCCACACCTGTACCAGCCCAGTGTCCTTGGCATAATCTGCCTAGGGCTGCCTTAGGACCAGGTGGCTGGACAAAGCTCACATGGGTTTGTGTGCCCTGCTTCTCCCCCAGGAGCAGCTGGCTGACCTCAAGGAAGACCTAGACAGGGACGACTGTAAGCAGGAGGCCGAGGTGGTCATCTATGAGACCAACTGCCACTGGGAGGACTGCACCAAGGAGTACGACACCCAGGAGCAGCTGGTGCATGTAAGCCTCTAAACTGCAGTGCCAACCCAGGGCAAAGCCCAGACCACATGGAGCCCCCAGCCTTCCAGACCTCTGTTGGAGAGAAAGGGCTCTAGGAGATGCCCTGGGCCACATCCTGTGCAAGTGGGAGGCACGATTATTTACCTGTGCTCTGCCTATTTCTAAAAGGGAGCTTACAAATACATATGGAGTATAATAAGAGATTAAAATAAAAATAAGAAAATGAGAAAATTAGAGGAAAAGGAATGAAAAAGATGCCAGGAGTCAAGTTAGTATGAAAATACCCAAGTCCTCTGAGCTATACTTCACATATAAATCTATTTTCTGAGCTTTCTAGCAAACAATGCAAAGAGGAAAATAAGATTAGTTAAATCAGCCGGCGTCCACAAGGTAATAACAAACCTGACCCTGAAACCTAAAAGAAGTTTCTCCCATGGAGGAAGGAGTCGGTGATTTCCTCCTGGAGACCATTCTCAGAGACCCAGTACACACAGGTGCAGATGGGTGTTTACACCCATATCAGAGCAAGGGCTGCTTAAAAATGCCTGGGTACTGACAGATCAAGAGACCAGAGGAAGCCACGGAAGTTGGGTGTGCCCTTCAGGTTATGTCATTGGTCCCCACTGTAAACTCTTCTACAGCAGCATCCATTGCGACTGTAGTCAGGGGCAGTTTATGCAGTGGGAAGAGCAGGAGCGGGGGGCTCAGCATGGGAGGCACGTGTCTTTGAACCTGGCTCCACTACAGCAAGCTGAGTTCTGAACAAGTCACTTAACTTCTGTGATCCTCAGTTTCTTCTCATGTGGAAGAGGAGGGAATCCTATCCCACAGAAGGGTAGAGATTGAATGTGATGCCAACATAAGCACTTAGCAAAGAGCGAGCAGCATTCCATACATGGTAGCTCCCTCCTTCCTCCTTCTCCCTGTTCCCCCTGCCAGTCTTGAGTATATCTAAGTCCAGGAAAGAATTTAAATTCAAGAATAAGCCCCCATTCCGCCTCAACACACACTCCTTTGTTAAGGAGTATCTGTAAAGATGAACTCTACAGTAAATTAGCATTTCAAATGCTGGGTAGACTAGACACACACACACACACACACACACACACACACGTGTGGCATGTACCGTTCCCATCCAGAAGCCACCACAAACAAGATTCCTTCTCCCCAGCACTGTGAACTCAGCATTTAGAACATCACCCACTCCCTCTGCTTCTGCTATTTGTGTGACTTGCTCTCCAATACTGTAGGTTTCTTTTGTGTTTTGGTTTTTCTTTTCCCATTTTCAGCCTAAAATTTCCCAGCAAACCATTGCAGCTGACATAGAACCTGTGAAGTGAGATCTTCTCTAATCCCTCTGGAATCTAACATAATTTTCCAACCTGTACCACCTCCTTGGGTCAGTGAGTCCAAGATGGAGAAGGGGCATGGGAACTATGAGTTGTAGGACAGATCGGATTCCATTGGAAGACAAGAGAAGGGACAGCATCCAGGCCCGGGAGAGGGCCCAGGCAGAGGAGTGGAGACCAGGACCTAAGCGACGTGCTCAGTGATGAGTGGGCCCGTCTCGAAGAGTAAGGAGGGAATTCCTCCAATAAAGGCAGAGAGGTCCAATGTGGGAAGGAAGGCTTCGGCTGCAGGCTTCTATCTGTGCCCAAGACTGTCACTGCAGATGTAGGTGATCGCCTCCATTTGACCCTGAAAAGAGCAGGCTCCTGTGAGAGGGGAGCCAGGCCCCTCTGCCCAGCTCTGTCTCTCTGCTCCCTGGGAAAATAAATGGTGGCCAGCACCCAAGCGAACTGGAGCCTCCCAGTCGATTATTAACAATTTGTTGCTAAGTAAACCAATTAGCAAAAAAATGAAAGACGTTGTCAGGACACATTTCTATCATTTGAAAAGCTTTAAAAATCAAAAGTGAGGCTAATATGATAAGATTTCCCTGGAAGTTCAAAATGTTGTAGGTTTCACTTGCTGCAACCGTGGCATTTGCATGCATGACATTTGAGCCCATTACTCACAGTATGAGGGCCGGTGGTTTTCTGTGTTTCAGAGTGAGGTGCTGCCAGTGCCTAGATGCTCAGCTCTCAGACAGCCTTGTAGGCTGCAAAGATCCATAGTAGCACCGTCCAGTAGGAGGATACTGCAAGCCACGATGCCAGTCACATGTGTGATTTTACATTATGTAGGAGCACATGTAAAAAGGAAATTAATTTTAATAATATATTTAACCTATTATATCTAAAATATTATCATTTCGACATGTAATCAATATAAAACAAAATATCGAAATATTTTACTTCTTTTTTTTTCCATTCTCAGTCTTCGAAACAGATATGTTTATACTTACAGCCCATCCCAGTTGGGAGCACCCACATTTCAAAAGCTCAAAGCACAAGTGACAAGTAGCTACTGTACTAGGCAGCACAGGTCAAGAGGTTGTGGGAGGAAGTGAAAGTGGACAGGGAACTGAGAACAGAGAGAATGGGATGAGGCTAGAGAGAATGGGTCTCCAAGACCTGAACATTCTGCCCTTCTCATCACCCTGTGGAGAAGTGGACCCAGAGTGACTCACAACTCGCACACCGGCAGGACACTACCTTGAACCAAGAGGGAGATGGAAGGGGAAGGATGGGACCTGGATGGGACTTCAGGAGGCTCCCTGGTGGCCTTTAGAGAGAAGCCCCAGTGGAAGAGGAAGCAGGAGGACTCTTTCACTTTACTGTGTAGAGTGACTAATACCACCTATTCCTACTCCCTGGGTAACCCAAAAGATTAGGGACTAAGTCCTAGAGGCCCCACACACGTATCAACACACCCCAAGTTCAGGGGCAGTAATGCCCCTGCTCCAGTGAGGACTGAAGCCTTCAGTTAAATAATCGATGCAAGTGACTGAAATCCAAAGGGTCTACCTGGGGCTGCTTGCTCTACCTGTGACAGAAAGCCTCACTGGCCTGTGGCTCCACATCACAGGAGAAACTACTCCAGGCGTCACACAGGTGTTAGACCAGGGCAAAGGCCAGAAGATGTGGGTGCAAGGAGTGGGAAAAATAGAAAAGTTAGCCTCCATATTCTTGGCCAGAGCAGTGAGGGCTGGGATGGGTCTGAGAACCACCTTCCAGAGAAAGCTGTTTGCCACAAATTCCAAGATTCGCCTGAGATGGACCCACTTGCCTGACAAGCAGGGCTCGCACTGCCATGCTGCCGGGTTAGTTGCACTGTCTTTGGCTATCCTGCTTACTCTCCTGGGCCATTTTGTCGCAGGTGCAGCATTGCACAGTGCCCAGAGCCCATGGACAGGGTCAGAATCTCACTTACTGCCCAGGCACTGGGCAATTTAATAATCTGGACCTTTGCGAAAAGGGTTATTGCAAGGATCCCCAACCCCCGGGCCGCGGACTGGCACCGGTCTGTGGCCTGTTAGGAATCAGGCTGCACCGCAGGAGGTGAATGGCGGGTGAGCAAGCGAAGCTCCATCTGTATTTGCAGCCACTCCCCAGCGCTAGCATCACCACCTCAGCTCCACCTCAGATCGTCGGGCATTAGAATCTCATAGGAGCACTGGCCCCTGGTGCCAAAAAGGTTGGGAACCACTGAGTTATTGTCAAAAATAGAGATGAGGATGCATTTACATTTCTATTATAATAAACAATTTAATTTAAAAGTCTCTGGAACAATAGGGACAAGCTCAGGAGAGGCTTCTCATGCACCCACCATGCGCATGCCTGCCTTGCTGCAGTTAATTAGTGCCTATTTGCAGCCCAGGAGCATATATCAGATCCTAGACCCCAGTCCGGGGTGAGCGGGATACCTTTGACCATCATAGATGGTCACTTTGATGACTAATTGGAAAATGCGGGAGAGACATTAGCACACAGTACATCTTCACTTAGTGGCCGCTAATGATAACTCATGAGGAGGTGTGGCTTGGCATAGAGATGTGGTCTTGTTGGGTGGGTGGTCCGCACATAGTGGGTGGTGGTCTATGGGGAGGGGGTTGGTCTGCACATACTAGGTCGGGGGCCGGGCTCACTTCCATGGGCTTGTTCCCGGCAGCACATCAACAATGAGCACATCCACGGGGAGAAGAAGGAGTTTGTGTGCCGCTGGCAGGCCTGCACACGGGAGCAGAAGCCCTTCAAGGCGCAGTACATGCTGGTGGTGCACATGCGCCGGCACACAGGCGAGAAGCCCCACAAGTGCACAGTAAGTGGGCCCTCGGAAACAGCCCTTCCTCATGCAGTGTCTGTAGGGCCAGCCTCACTGGCCAGGTGGGTGGGTCATGGCTGACCACAGGAAACCTGGGTGGAATGGGCCACAGCAGCGGCCCTGGGACAGGCCTTGCCCATGGGTCATCAGTCTGCTCCTTCCCTAGGCCTTCTGCTTGTCTTGGTCCTCAAGGCCCCTTGGCTGTCTGTTGTCCCAGAACTTTGACTTACTCTCTTTCAGGGAGTATAACTACAGTAGGGATGTGCTGGTTTTCTATGTGACTGTGAACACCAAAGCACAGCTGTACTTCCACAGTTCACGTGGCTGGGTGACCTCAGAAAGAGGAGCTGGCTCGATAGCACACTGAAGTCTGGCCCCCGCAGAGAAAAGCTCCACTGGTGACTTGCAGCTTGAGCAATGATGGGTTAAAAATCTCTATGGCTGAGTTAAAAAAAAGAAGAAGAAATGAACACAAGACATTTTAGAAAACCTCCCTTATGGAGTCAACAGGATCTGTGGCTGAAATTAGTGAGACATTTTTTTTAATACACAGAAATTGATCTTTCTTTAAAAGTGGAGCTGGTCTAGTGATGCACTGATGTGGCTGCCACTATAACCTACGGGAACTCTTCTTTTTGAATTGCCATATTTCATAAATTCTGAGACATTTTAATATCTCTGAAATCAGGCTGTCTTAAAAGGGGTGGTGGTCCAGGGTTCAATGAAATATGCTACTTTGGTTAGCAAGTTATATTTTTAATGGAGATAAATTTCATATGCTATAAAGTTCACCACTTTTTTTAAAAAAAATGTACAATTCAGTGATTTTTAGTATAGTCACAAATTTGTGAATTACTAGCAAATTCCAGAATATTTTCATATTCCCGAATAGAAACTTCATACCTATTAACGGCCACTTCCTATTCTCTTTTTCCCCCATTCCCTGACAACCACTGATCTTCCTATCTCTATGAATTTGCATGTTCTGGACAGTTTATAAAGATAAAATTATACCATGTGTAGGTTTTGTGCCTGACTCTATTTACATAGCATGTTTTCAAGATTCATTCACGTTGTAGCATGTATCGGCTCTTTATTTCTTTATATAACTAAATGATATTCCATTGTATGAGAGAGATCCTAGTTTTTTAATATATTCATCAGTTGATGGATATTTTCCTTATTTTCCCTTTTTGGCTATTATGAATATGCTTCTAGGAATATTTGTGTACAAGTTTTTGTGTGGACCTATTTTCAGTTCTCTTGTGTATGCACCTAGAGTAGAATTGCTGGGTCATATGATAACTCCTACGTTTAACTTTTCGAGGACTAGCCAGGCTGATTTACAAAAAGGCTGCATGATTTTATATTTTCACCAGCAATGTGTGAGGGTTCTGATTTCTCCACAACCTTGTTGGCACATGGGCTGTCTTTTGGTCATAGTTGTCATAGTGGATGCGAAGTGGCATCTCATTATGGTTTTGATTAGCATTTCCCTAATGACAGATGATGTTGAGTATCTTTTCATGTGCTTATCAGCCTTTTACTATACCTTCTTTGGAGAAATGTCTACTCAAATATTTTGCCCATTTTTAAATCGAGTTATTTGTCTTTATTGTTCAATTGTAGCGGTTTTCTAGACCCTTATCATATATGTGCCTCGCAAATATTTTCTCTCATTCTGTGGGTTTTCTTTTCATTTTCTTGATAGTTCCTTTGAAGCACAAAAGTTTTTAATTTTGACAAAATCCAATTTTTTAATTGCTTGAGCTTTCGGCGTCATATCTAAGAAACCATTGCCTAATCTAAGGTCACGAAGATTTACCCCTATGTTTTTTTCTGAGTTTTATAGTTTATAAATATATAGTTTTATTTACATAAATATAAATTTAATATGTACACATAATCTTATAGGGTAACTCTTTCATTTGGGTCTTTAAACCATATTGAGTCAATTTTTTTATATGGTGTGAGATAAGGGTCCAACTTCATTCTTTGGCATATGGTTTTGCAATTGGCCCAATCCTATTTGTTAAAGAGACAGTTCTTTCTTCATTGAATGATCTTGGTACCCTTGCTGAAAATGAGTTGGCCCTATATATATGAGTTTGTTTTTGAACTCTTACTCTATTTCATTGACCTCCACGTCTGTCCTTATGCCAGTAGCACACAATCTTGATTACCATAATTATATAGTAAGTTTTGAAATTGGGTGGTGTCAGTCCTCCAAATTTGTCCTCCTTTTGCAAGATTGTGTTGGCTCTTCTGAGTCCTTTGCAGGAAGTTATTTTCTTAACATCCTGAGTTGTAGCAAACCATAGCCCTCTGATATGAGCTGTGAGTTGCAAAACAGATAAAAGGCATTTGGAGCCAAGTGCACTCAGTCAGACTGGTCAGGAATAAAGGGGAGGATGCCGAGACCGAGACAGCTCCTGCTGGGGTTCACATGTCATTCTGAGGGCAATTTCCAAAAGCACATTGGGTGCAACTGCAGTATCTTTAAAATAGGTGCAGAATCTCCTACAATAACCCTTCTTCTCTCCCTCTCTCTCCGCCACTCTCTCATGCCTTTCTTCCTTTTTTTCTTGCCAAAAATGTTTCTTTTCATTGGGCAGTAAATACTAGGGACACAGAAATGAACAAGACCTAAAAGATCTTGCTCTCGTGGAGCTCGTATCCTAGTGGGAAGCCAGATAACAAAAATATTAAGATCATTATAAATCGTGTGAGGGAGCATAAAGGGAAAAGGGTAATTATTATGATTGATAATATTAGAGAAATGCTCTCAGAGGAGATTACCTAAAAAATAGAGAAGAAGTGAGCCACTCCAGGGCCAGGGAAGGTGGGGGTAGGGGAAAAGCTCTAGCCAAAGGGGACCATGTGGGCAAAGGCCTCACACCTGGAAGAACTCAGTGGGGTCAGGGAACTCAAAGGAGATCAGCACAACCAGAGAGAAGGTGAGGGCGGCTGGCTTACTCAAGGCTGTGGAGGACTCTGGATTTTTTTTCAGCGCATTTTGATGCGCAGAAAAGTTCTAATCAGGGAGGGACATTAGGAAACAGTTAGAAATAACAGATTCAAAGTTTTTAATGATATGGGAAGATTCTCACAGTGTGCTGTTGATTTTAACAAACAGAATACATAACTAAATAATATGTTCCCAATTTTGGTTTAAAAAAGTGTGGGGATAAATTGCAAAGCCACCAGAATGAGACTTAATTGGATGTCCTGCATGCAATGGTTTTCATTTTCTTCTCTGTAGTTTTCAGTCCTTTCCAAGTTTTCTAGAGTGGTCATGTGTCAATTTCATGTTCAGAGAGGAAAGTAGATGTTATTATTGAAGTACACACTCCTGGGTGCACCGGTGAGATGGAGCAGATGGGGGCTGGGGAAGAGGCAGTATCCGGCCCGAGGTCAGGCTCCTGCATTGGGTATGAGGCACCTTTATTTACCAAACCCGCCTCTTCCCAGTTTGAGGGCTGCTCGAAGGCCTACTCTCGCCTGGAGAACCTGAAGACGCATCTGCGATCCCACACTGGGGAGAAGCCATACGTGTGTGAGCACGAGGGCTGCAACAAGGCCTTCTCCAACGCCTCCGACCGTGCCAAGCACCAGAACCGCACCCACTCCAATGAGGTACCCGAGTGGGGTGTGCACAGGGTGTGTGCATGGCCCACTGACAGATGCATAAATGCATCACCCCATGGCTTCTAGACATCTGTAGGCTAGGTGGCCAATTGCCAGGTGCCCCTCCTCACCACTGACCCACTGTCTGAGCTCAGCACCCAGTGGCAGGTTGCTGCTCCCACAGCCTAGGCAGCTGGCTAGGACATGCACTAACTTCTAGTCCTAATCCTGGTCCTGGTCCTTCTGAATCTGTGAGCCCCTTGCTGATGGGACACTATACCCACCTCCCAGTCCCAGCCCAACTGATCAAATACTGTCACTCAGGTAAACTCAGGAAAGAACGTTTCTAAAAGCTTAGATACACTTTGGACCCCAAAGAGAATTGTCCCAAATGCTTATAAGAAGTTAGAGGAATTCATAAAGGTATCTGAACCCCTCAGAGTCTCTACAGACAAGAGCTGGACTTGGAGAAGGGTGTGTGTGTGTGTGTGTGTGTGTGTGTGTGTGTGTGTGTGTGTTAGTGTGTGTATGCATGTGGACATGGCGTGTGTGTGTGTGTGTGTGTGTGTGTGTTAGTAAGTGTATGCATGTGGACATGGCGCATATGTGTATGTATTATGTGGACGTATGTGGGTATGTATTTGTAAGCATATGTATATATGTGATTGTACATGTACATGTGCATGTGTGTGTGTGTGCTTATATGTATTGAGTGTGTGTAGATGTGTGTGTAAGGATGTATACACATGTGAATGTGCATGTATGTGTGTGTGCATGTATGTATGTGGGTGTGGGGGGAGTGTATATGAGCTTAGGACTGAGGTTCAGAAATCCTGGATTCTCATTCCGGGTGACTTGGAACCAGCTTCTTTGTCTCTCCGAATGTGTCTTTCCTCATCAGAGAGCTCAGGGTTCTAATGCTGTCTCACAGGTGTAACAGGTAATACACTCACTACTGATATCAAAAATCTCAGTGCCCTGGTCACAGGGGAGGCAGCATTGTATTCACACCAGGCTCTGTGTCCCCAGTCTCTGATCTATGTCCCCAGTTTGTGGAGGAGTCTCCCTTAACCATGTGCTTACCCACTGGAAAAGGTGGCAGGCAAAGTTGGTGGGGCGGGTTCCTGCTGCCCTGGGGCTGGTGTGGTTCTATCCAGAGAGCATGGCTGCAAACAGGTTGAACACCTTCTGACTGCCAGTTAGGCTCTGCTGAAGGAAGTGGCATGGCTTCAGGAGAATGAGGAATGTGCCCAGTCTGAGTTTGTCTTCATGTCCCATCCATCATGCTGCCTGCTTCTCTTCCCAGAAACCCTATATCTGCAAGATCCCAGGCTGTACCAAGCGATACACGGACCCAAGTTCTCTCCGGAAGCATGTGAAAACAGTGCACGGCCCAGATGCTCATGTCACCAAGAAGCAGCGCAACGATGTGCACCTCCGGGCCCCGCTGCTCAAGGAGAATGGGGACAATGAGGCCAGCACCGAGCCCAGTGGCCGGGGCTCTGAGGAGAGTGCTGAGGCCAGCAGCACCAGCCAGGCCATGGAGGACTGCCTTCACGTCAAAGCCATCAAGACCGAGAGCTCCGGGGTAAGCAGAGTTGGGCAGCAGAGGCCCAAGTCCATGCCCTGCAGGAGGCCAAACCCAGCAGGCAAGGGCAGTTCCATAGCCCGACCTGGGGCCCAGAGCCCCAACTGCTGCTGTGGGCTGTACCCCAGGCTCCCCTACTATAAGTGCGCAATGTTGTCCCTCCTCTCTCCGGTTGGATTTTTCCTCCCTTCACCACCTTGGGCCTCCCATAGAACCTGCCTTGTGCCAGGTCCCATTCTGTTGGACAGGGTATAAGTAATGGGGGTGTCTACTCCCACGTGATCAGTCTTTGACGGGACATGGGTGGTTCCTGGTGTCTGCCTTTCCAACCAGCACCAGTCACCCCAGCTGATCCCCTTTCCTCTGTCCTGTCTCTGAGTCCTTGCCCCTCTGGTCTCTACTCCTTTTGTTCTAACCACCTGTTCTTTGTCTCCACCTCTTTTTCCCGACTGTACCTCCCCTAAGGATAGACGGTACTGAGGTGAGCAGAGAGGTCGGTGGGGGTGTGGGCGGGCAGGCGTGAGTGAGGGTGGGCTGGGTGCCTGTCCAGGATGCAGGAAGGTGGGTTTGGGTAGGTAAACAGCAGGCGCTGCAGGTGGGACCATCGGAACAGGCAAAGGCTGGCAGCAGGAGTCAAGCTGGCAGGCGCGGGAGCAAGTGGTGGAGACCAAGATGACATGGGGGACAAGGCAGAGTGGAGGTGTGAGTTAGGGCTTTCAGGGATGGAAGAACTGACCTATAGAGGGTCTTCAGTGCCGGACTGAGGAATGTCAGGTGGTACATGAGCAGAATGGAGCATTGCAGCTTCCTAAGGAAAGGTACAGAATTGGGGACATTCAGCCTAGAAATGAGACCAGAAGTGCCACATCCAACATAAGCCTCATTTGGGCTCAGATCCCGGGTTCTGTGGAGTTCTGCACTGTCCATATGTGCCATGAGCTCCCAGCCCCACCTCCACCCTGACCCAGAGGGAGGGCTGATTTGGTGGCCATTTAGGCAAGGGCTGCATCCAGCAGTTCTGCCTCCCTGCTCGTCCTTTCCCTTTCCAACAACCTGCCCCTGGCCTGTTGAGAAGGCATCGAATCAGTAGGCTTTCATTGTTCCTTGCTTCACTGTGGGCACATCACAGTTGTTGGGAATGCTTAAGTACCTTTTTTCATGTCAACCTCATGCGACTGTGGCAGCCTCTTTGGGCACAGCTTCAAAGTGGCCACATGTTGAAAGCTCAGCAGGTAGGGCTCTCGCCCAGATGCCATCTGGGAGAGCTTAGGAGCACGGGGTGGGGTTAAGAGGGGCTGATAGTAACTGGATGTCTTCTATATGCCGGATGCTTTCCATCCGTCCACTAACACTGTCCCACAGGCAGTTCAGGTCCATCGTATAGTTGGAGAAGCTGAGGTTTAGACAAGCAATGCTCTGAATGCTCCTCCATACAGGAGCTTCGGTCCAGCCCCCGGGTGTGCAAGAGTGCATAGTGATTGCGGAGCCAGGTGGGTTCTCACACCTCTGAGTCTGCACCTTCTCACCACATCCCCTGCAGCTGTGTCAGTCCAGCCCTGGGGCCCAGTCGTCCTGCAGCAGCGAGCCCTCTCCCTTGGGCAGTGCCCCCAACAATGACAGCGGTGTGGACATGCCTGGGAGCCTGGGAGACCTGACAGCTCTAGATGACACGCCCCCGGGGGCCGACACTTCAGCCCTGGCCAACCCCTCCACTGGTGGCCTGCAGCTGCGCCAACACCTGACCGCCATGCACCGGTTAGAGCAGCTCAAAAAGGAGAAGCTCAAGTCACTCAAGGATTCCTGCTCATGGGCCGGGCCGGCTCCACACACCCGGAACACCAAGCTGCCTCCCCTCCCGGGAAGTGGTGAGTGGGGGCCCTGGTATGTGGGCTGGGCAGGAGAGAGCCTGGGGCAGCACCCACTAGGTTCATGCCCATCAAGCATCATGTGTCCTCTCACTGAATGCCCACAATAGGATAGCTCTTACCAGCCCATTGCACAGATTAGGAAACTGAGGCCCAGAGAGGTAAAAGTGCCTCACTCAGATCAATAGCAGAGCTGAGACTTAAGCCAGGCTTGAGTAGCTGCAAAGCCCATGCTATTTCAACTACACCATGCTGCATTCTTTAACCCCCTAAAAACAGGCAGACCCCACTCACATCATCATCTTCCCCGTAAGTCATTCAGTCACTTATCAGGCACCTGCTCTGGGCACTATCACAAATGCCCCAGGCAGGAGTCATATAATGCCAGTCCCTGTGGTTAGAAGGAGCAGATAGTGAAAAGGCCATGCCACCGGAGTTACAGTCACTCAAAGAATGAGCCAAATAGCACTGAGGACAGAGGTCAGTGTAGAGCTATACATAGGAGGAAGAAAGCATGTCAACTGGGGAAGGGAAGGGAGGACTTCATGAAGGAGGCAGCCCTGTGTTCAGCCTCAGGAGATGTTGATCAAGCCTTTGAGATATAAGGAAGTTTCACCAAGCACTTCTTGTGTGCTGCCCCTGTGCCAAGCAGTATGCTGGTAGGCACCAGGCACACTGGGGCACTAAGCATCTAGGCTGCCCTCCAGGGACTGACAGCCCAGTGTGGACCAATAGGACTGGATTATTGAGACATGGACACTGTACCATCCAGCTCTCTCCTGAAGGGAGGACTTGACCCAGCTGTTGAAGGAACTGCTAGCAGATGGCCTTCAACTCTCAGCCTCTTATAGAGATCGCCAGGACTGCTGACAGCTGCTTCATCCAAGGTTATCTCTTCCCAGGGTGGCTAACATCCAATGACTGATCACTGCAGGGGTGTAAAGGCCTTTTGAGGCCCAAAGCTCCCCCTGAGGTCAGCAGGTGCTGTTGTTGGGCCTGCATCACTGCTCATTTCTCCCTACCCATTCTACTGTCTTTCCTCCCTTCTGTGGATATGGGTCTCTGGGCCCTCCCAAAAAACAGCCTGCTCAGTAAACCCAGTCCTAGGGAGCCCAACTGGCAGCCCCCATTCACAGATGGTAATGGTACAGGGAGGCTGTGGCCAGGGCCCTCCAGGGCTCTTCTCAATAACTCAGTCAGTCCTATGGAGAGGACATTGTATCCACAGCTGGAAAAAAACCGGGACCGGACGTAATGAGAATTCAGGGCCGCCAGACAATGCGAGAGCCAAGACAGGGGTCAGGCCTTCTGGCTTCCACTTGCCTATCCTTAGCAATAAGGGTCACCACGTATTCACTTACTGTTCCTTCTTCCTCCTTCCATTCAGAAATCACTAATTGAGTGTCTCCTCTGTCTTAGGCCCTGTTCAAGGGCTCCAGGTTCTAGGGCTTCAGGTATGCAGACTGTCTGGTCACAGCAGGCAGAGCACCCCATCCCTAACCTCAGTCCCTGCCGTGCTGACCCTTCTCTTTTCCCACAGGCTCCATCCTGGAAAACTTCAGCAGCGGCGGGGGCGGCAGGCCGGTAGGACTGCTGCCAAACCCACGGCTGTCGGAGCTGTCTGCAGGCGAGGTGACCATGTTGAGCCACCTACAAGAGCGCCGCGACAGCTCCACCAGCACGGTCAGCTCGGCCTACACAGTGAGTCGCCGCTCCTCCGGCATCTCGCCGTACTTCTCCAGCCGCCGCTCCAGCGAGGCCTCACCTCTGGGCGCAGGTCGCCCGCATCATGCCAGCTCTGCCGACTCCTACGACCCCATCTCCACCGATGCGTCACGGCGCTCAAGTGAGGCCAGCCAGTGCAGCGGAGGCGGCGCAGGGCCGCTCAGCCTGACTCCGGCGCAGCAGTACAGCCTGCGGGCCAAGTATGCAGCGGCCACAGGCGCGGCCCCCAC